CAGAGGACCCACAAGAATCAGCCAATCACATCAATATAGAGGACCCACAAGAATCAGCCAATCACATCAATATAGAGGACCCACAAGAATCAGCCAATCACATCAATATAGAGGACTGTGGCATTACCCTGAGAGGGGACTGTGACATTACTCTGAGAGGGGACTCTGAGAGGGGACTGTGACATTACTCTGAGAGGGGACTGTGACATTACTCTAGAGAGGGGACTCTGAGAGGGGACGGTGACATTACTCTGAGAGGGGACTGTGAGAGGGGACTGTGACATTACTCTGAAAGGGGACTGTGAGAGGGGACTGTGACATTACTCTGAGAGGGGACTGTGACATTACTCTGAGAAGGGACTGGATACGAGAAGTCACGGTTTGTTCGGCATTGCCCTGAGAGTGGACTGTATATGAGAAGTCACCATTTGTTCTGCATTGCCCTGAGAGTGGACTGTATATGAGAAGTCACCATTTGTTCGGCATTGCCCTGAGAGTGGACTGTATATGAGAAGTCACCATTTGTTCGGCATTGTTCGGCATTGCCCTGAGAGTGGACTGTGGCATTGCCCTGAGAGTGGACTGTATATGAGAAGTCCATGGAGTAATATTATGTTCTTATGTTTGGCTTTGAGGTGAACATGGTCTAGTTTTGTTAAATGTTACAGATGTATGGTACAGTTTTGTTAAATGTTACAGATGTATGGTCCAGTTTTGTTAAATGTTACAGATGTATGTTCCAGTTTTGTTAAATGTTACAGATGTATGGTCCAGTTTTGTTAAATGTTACAGATGTATGTTCCAGTTTTGTTAAATGTTACAGATGTATGGTCCAGTTTTGTTAAATGTTACAGATGTATGGTCCAGTTTTGTTAAATGTTACAGATGTATGGTCCAGTTTTGTTAAATGTTACAGACGTATGGTCCAGTTTTGTTAAATGTTACAGATGTATGGTCCAGTTTTGTTAAATGTTACAGATGTATGGTACAGTTTTTTGCGAGGATGATCCCATTTTGAAAAGAATAGCAGAAACAGCAGCTTTGTTTTACGCTGCAGGAGAAAACATTCTCCTAGTTTGTTGGGTGTCGTTGGCTCAACCTGTCTTCATTATTTGGTTCCTAGGTTTTATTTCACTATGGAGAGGGTGGTCCTACTGTGAGTGAAGTTATGGCAAAACACACACACACATCACCACACATACACCCATACACACCACCACACATACACCCATACACACCCACACACACACACCACCACACATACACCCATACACACCCCCCACACACACACCACCACACATACACCCATACAAACCCACACACCACCACACATACACCCATACAAACCCACACACCACCACACATACACCCATACAAACCCACACACCACCACAC